GTGTGTGTGTGTGTATGTGTGTCTGCGTGTGCCTCGTCGTTGTGCGCGAGGCTGCGACCGCCAAAAAGTGTCTGTGTGTATATGTGTGTGTGTGCGTGTTTTTTTTTTTTGAAGGAAAGCCGTGTGGGCTTGGGGGCCATGTGGGTGAACACAGGACCACGTTCCCGTGGGGGCCATGTGTTCTCCTCCGCTCCCCCACCCTCCCCCTCCCCTGTTCCTCTGCCCCCCTCCTTGATGAGCCTGTTCCTCCGCTGGGTTGAGCCGCTCCCGCTTCCGATTTTTTGGGATTTCAGAGCCTGCCGGCTGCCGCGATCCTGCCGGCTGCCTCCGCGCCGAAGCAGGTACATTGTGTATCCCGCGTACCACACCCAGGAGCCAGCGCGGCGCAACGGGCGGAGGAGCAGCGGGCGGACTGACAGGGGGAAGAGGGGATGTGAGGACGTGGGCGAGGAGGACAGGATAGGGGGCGACGAGGACGAGGGCGCGGAGGGGGAGGGGACGACGACGACGACGGGATGAGATTTGGGAGCCCAGTGAACGGTAGGACGATGTGGCGGATGCTGCGGATTTGTCGCCGGAAAGCGATGTATGTGGTCATGGGGAAGCAAGATCAGGAAGCATTGCAGGACGATAGCCGTGCATCAAGTCAACATACCATCACACATGACGATGCTGATGGTGGCGATGGTTATGGTGGTGATGATGCTATTGTAAATGATGATGCTGCTGCTGATGCTGATGAGGATGATGATGCTGAGTATGACGACGACGATGATGATGTTGACGCTGATGCTGCTGATGATGACGATGATGATGGCGGTGATTCTGATGATGATGCTGCTGATGATGACGAGGATGATGACGGCGACGACGGCTAAGACTAAGACGGTGCTGACGATGTGTCGACCACGACTACGAAAATGATGATGATGATGATGATGATGATGATGATGATGATGATGATGATGATGATGATGATGGCAGCGACGACGACAAAGACAATGACGATGGTCATGGTGAGGCTGACGATTACCTCGCTGCTGATGATGTTGGCTATTATGATGATGATGATGATGATGATGATGATGGTGGTGATGGTGATGCTAATGATCATTCTGATGCTGCTGCTGATGATGATGATGATGATGATGGTTGCGATGATGCTGATGCTGATGCTGATGCTGCTGCTGATGATGATGATGATGACCATGACGATGATGACGACGATGGCGATGACGATGACGATGGCGATGAAGGTGACGATGATAATGCTGATGATGATGATGATGATGATGATGATGATGATGATGATGATGACGTCGACGATGACGACGACGATGATGATGATGCTGCTGATTACGATGATGATGCTGCTGCTGATGATGATGGGACGGATGTTAAGGGTCGATCGCCGGAATACGATGTAGGCGGTCATGGGGAAGCACCATCAGGATTCGTAAAATCAACATAACATCACACATGGTGGTGGTGATGGTGATGCTGTTTTTGATGATGATGCTGCTGCTGATGATGATGATGAGGATGATGATGCTGATGCTGATGTTGATGCTGAGGATGACGACGACGATGATCATACTGATGCTGATGCTGGTGCTGATGCTTATGATGACGATGATCATGATGATGCTGCTGCTGATGATGATGGTGGTGCTGCTGATGATGATGATGATGATGATGATGATGACGAGGATGTTGACGAAGACGACGACGACTAGGACCATGCTGACGATGTGTCGACCACAATAAGACATGATGCTGCTGATGATGATGAGGATGATGATGCTGATGTTGATGCTGAGGATGGCTACGACGATGATGATGCTGATGCTGATGCTGATGCTGATGATGCTGATGATGATGATGCTGCTGATGATGATAATGCTGGTGCTGATGCTGATGACGATGCTGCTGCTGATGATGACGAGGATGTTGACGACGACGACGACGACTAGGACGATGCTGGCGATGTGTCGACCACATTAAGACATGCTGCTGCTGATGATGCTGATGATGATGCTGCTGATGATAATGATGATGGTGCTGATGCTGATGATGCTGCTGCTGATGATGACGAGGATGTTGACGACGACGACGACGACGACTAGGACGATGCTGACGATGTGTCGACCGCATTAAGTCATGATGATGCTGCTGCTGCTGCTGATGATGATGATGATGATGATGATGATGATGAAGATGATGATGATGGCGGCGACGACGACGAAGACAATGACGATGGTGATGATGAGGCTGACGACGACCGAGGCGTCGGTATTTCCGGGCCCACCTCACGAGCAGCATGCCGCGTCGGAGGAGAGGGCCTGGAGGTCCCTCGATGCCCTCGGTGGTCTCCAGAGGACCCGAGAGGACCCCCGAGGACCCCAGAGGTCCCTAGAGCTTAGTGGGCCCTGGAAACGACAGGGCCGTTTTTTTGCCGGTTCCGTTTTGCCGTTTTTTTGCCGGTTCCGACGCCGTTTTGTTACCAGTTCCGTCGCCGTTTTGTGACCGCTTCCGGCTCCAATTCCAATCCTGGAGCCGTTTTTTTGCCGTTTCCGGTCGCCTTTTTTTTGCCGTTTCCATTTTCAAGGGACATCTTTGTGGAAACGGTGAGAAAACGGCCCTGCCGTGTCCGGGGCCCACAAGCCCTAGAGGCTTTCAGAGGCTTCCAAAGGCCAACCAATCAAATATCAGCCAGCGTTGACTCCAAACAGATAGGAGGACAGGAGGAGGACGAGAGGAGGATGGGAGGAGGACGAAAGGAGGACGGGAGCAGGGCGGCAGGAGAACGGGAGGAGTACAATCAAGCAAGCGCAGGCAAGCAAGCGGAAGCAAGCAAGCGCAAGCGAGCAACAACAAGCAAGCAAGAGCCAGCGATCAAGTGCAAGCAAGCAAGGGCAATCAAGAGCAAGCAAGCGAGAGCAAGCACGCAAGAGCAAGCAAGCAAGCGCCATTGAAAAAGGGGGGGGGGGCCATTTGAAAAAGAGGGGGTGCCATTGGAAAAGTGGGGGGTGCTAAAGACCAATTGCTTACGATGAGCTAGGACTCCTACAGGGCAAGCCTACTTGGAGAATGTCTAAAACGAGTGAGAAAGCATGGATCCTCGACACCTCCTCCTCCTCCTCCACCTCCTCCTCCCGTGCAGTCCGCTCAAGATCAGCGTCCATGCTCCGCCCAGAGTCCGCTCCGCGCAGGTCCTCCGCCTCCTCCACCTCCGGCCCCCTCCCGGGGTCACCCCCGTCCGTTCTCGGAGCCGCGTCCCGCCGCGACGACGAGGGGTGGGGGCCACGACAGCCCAAACACGAGGATTCTCACAGCGATGATGACGAGGATCGCGCGCTCGGACGCCCTCTGTTGGGGAGGGGGGCCTGTCGCGGGCTCGCGGTGTGCAGCCTGCGCAAAGCCGCACCGTGGGCAGAAAATGGGGATGGCCCCCCTCCACAGGCCGATTGCGAGGGGGCTGCGATCTGTGCTCGGGCCATGTCTGTACAGGTGATGGTAATGGTGATGATGGTGACGATCCCCGTCTCGACGGACGCGCAGAGCTCAGCTGCCATCCGCCGACCCAGGCTCGGTGATGTCCACCGACACCCAGGCTAGCTACGAGACCCCGAAGGCTTCTGGGAGATTTCCTGAGACAGGCCAGGGTAGGCTTAAGTCGGGCCTGTCCCTCTACAGGGGGAATATTCAAAAATAGAAAAAAATAATCTGGGGACGAGTTTCTGAGCATTTTTTGACCATTTTGGGGTATTATATATATATGTATATATATATATATATATATTATATTTTTCGTCCAAAATCCCTTTGTAGGGGGACAGGCCAGACTTAAGGGTAGCCATTTCAGCCGCCGACCCAGATTTCTCGAAGCGAACCAATCCGTTGCGACGAGGAGGGCCTTGGCACCCCCTCTCTCTCTCCGCCGTGGTTCGCCCGCCCGGCGGCGACGGACGGGGCCGCGGCTGCCTCTGTTCCTCCACCCCAGGCGCGTCCCACGACGGGGTGGGGGCAGCTCTCTCTCTCTCTCCCTCTCTCTCTCTCCCCCTCCGCATCATCCTCCTCCTCCTCCTCCTCATCATCATCATCATCATCATCATCATCATCATCATCATCAGCATCATTCATCATCGTCCTCTTCCTCCTCCTCCCCCCTCCTCCTCCTCCTCCTCCTCCTCCTCCTCCTCCTCCTCCTCCTCCTCCTCCTCCTCCTCCTCCTCCTCCTCTCCTCCCCCTCCTCCTCCTCTCCTCCTCCTCCTCCCCCTCCTCCTCCCCCTCCTCCTCCCCCCCCCCCCCGCAGCGTCTCACAAGGGGGGGGGGGGCGGGGGCGGCGCTCCCGCGGTTCCCGGGCCGGGAAAGGGGGCGCAGGAGGGGGGGGGGAAGGCGGGTGCCGGGGAGGCCCACCGCTCCAGGGCCCGAACCTCTGGACGCCCGAAATGGGTACTGAAAGAATGGGTACTATGCCCAACAACGGGCGCTGAAAGAATGGGCGCTGAAAGAATGGGCGCTGAAAGAATGGGTACCATACCCAACAGCGGATCTTGTTCATTCTGAACAGGATCCGCTGTCCGCGCCGCCGCGGCCTGTGTCCATTCGAGACAGGAGGCCGCCCGCCCAACAGCGGCCGCTGTTGGCTTGGGACAGCATTGGTTGTTGGGCATAGTGCCCATTCTTTCCGTACCCATTTCTGGCGTCCAAACGAACCTGGGCGGCGACGAGGACACCTCCAGGCGGCTGTGCCATCACCGGATGGTTTCCCCGAAGGGCTTAGGCGACCCGTCCTCCTCCTCCTCCTCCTCCTCCTCCTCCGCCTCCGCCTCCTCTTCCTCCTCCTCCCTCCTCCTCCTCCTCCTCCTCCTCCTCCTCCTCCTTCTCCTCCCCCTCCCCCTCCTCCACCTCCTCCTCCTCCTCCCCCTCCTCGGGTCGCCTACGGCCCCGGGGGAAACCGTGCAGCCATCACCACCCACCAAACCACCCCTACCCAACCCGAAGGCTCAGATTTACCCTCGATTTCCAGTGTGTGGGGGGGGTCGGGAGACATCGAAAAAACACACGTGGAACCCTTTACCCCCCCCCAACGCGAAATTCGGGTCTTCGGGTTGGGTTGGGGTGGTCTGGTAGGTGGTCAGCTATCCCGCAGGTCCTGGAGCTGTCCGCCAGCCCAGGCGAGTGTTCGCTCCCACAGTCCCTGAGGCTGGCAGATCCTGGCGAATCCACCAGCCAGGGCTCGAAGCTGACTTGTCCCAACACCGAGGGAGGGAGGAACGAGGGAGGAACGGACGAGGGAGGAGGAGAAAAGGTGCAGGAGCCGACCTCCCGTGAACAGCGATGCCCCCCCATCATCTTGGAGCTCGGTC